GTCCTAGCTCTGGGTAAAAGTCAGTGATCACCTCTTGAAATGAATGCTAACCTTGTATTATGCAAATTCCTATACTATTTAATTTTTTTTTCATTTTAGATTCGGCGGCCCAAGTGCATGTGTGTTGCATGCACATAAATGAGTACTGGTAGAAATGGGGTTCAGGTTTCCTTGGTCCCCAGATAGCCATGTGATAGGCGGCTTCTAAACCCTCATCTTTCTTTCCTCTTTTAGTGTCCCAGTGTCTATTACTTCTGCTTTAGTCCATTTAGCTCCCACATGAAGTGAGAATAGACAGTGCTTGGTTTTCTGTTTCTGAGCTAGTTCACTTAGGAGGGTGTTCTCCAGCTCTATCCATGCTACTGTGATGACATGATTTCATTCCTCTTTATGGCTGCATAGTATTTCATGGTATATGTGTACCACATTTCTTTATCCAGGCAACCACTGATGGGCACTCATGTTGATTCCATTTACCTACATGTTTCTAAATAAAATTATGTTCCTGGCACTTTTTGATTTTTCACTTTTAGACATTTTCTGTAGCCTTCCTTCCATGAAAGATTAAAATGTGGATGTAGCTGTGTTTTACTACTACTCCATTCTTCTCCCCCATCTGCCCAATGTGATTATAGTCTTTTGTTTATCATTTTACGCATGCATGTGTGTATAAATACACACACACTTGTTTGGGTACTAAGTGAACACAATGTGCTGAGCCATTTAATATACTGTGATTCTTTTGCATTTCTGCTAATTTTTTTTTCTGAGTAATAACTGACAGTTATCTGATTGCTCATTTTCTAAGTACCTATCACTAATTCACTGCAAAAATACTCCAAAGAATTTTTATTCTTCTCTCAAATCTGCCTATACATAAGAGAAATCTCTTAATTCTTTTGACTTTTCTCAGAGAACCACTCATGAAGCCCTGATTGTTCTGCTTCCCTTGAAACAGATTCCTTCCTGGTCCACACACAGCTATAATCCGAGGTCTTCCCACAGTCATGATCTCTGGGACTCCCTTGTTGTTTGCTTTGGTCTGTGTTTTCATGCTAGGGGCTTTTCTCAAGTGAGTATAAAACCATGTTTGATAAAGAGCTACTGAACAGCCGATGCGCACTGCGTGGAACATAGACCATGTGATGTGGATAGAGATATTTGAGGGAAGTCTGATTGTTAGTATTTGTGCATCTTCTTTTTTCCTGGGCTGACAGTGTCTCTGGAAGTGATTGGCAAGTCCTACTCAAAGGTCCTGTGACCAGCTGCACGTTCTAATGAGGACTGGACTGGAGCGGGCATTCACCATGGTTTCTCACCACCACTCTCAGGAAAGCCTTCTGATTTTACTTTTGTCTGGTTCCAGGGGAGAGTGGGACTGGTATAGGAGATTTGCTCCTTTTCACCCATTCTACCGCCCTGTTGTCAGAGGTATCTAGTGCCACCATTTTCTCAGCCTTTCTGGGAACTTGTGGAGGGATTTGGATGTTTCCCGTCGACTTTCTTCTCTGCATACTTTAGTTTTAGCCCGTCTATGTCAGTTACCACTCATCCATCTGCTTTGCAACTTCTAAGATATCATTATATTTTTATCTGCTGTGGACTCATTTTCCATTTATTTTAATTTCATCACTTTAGCTGAGTATGGAGATTAGTATTCTCTTATTTTGCTGGTTAACAGATGGTTGGCTTCATTTTCGTGGTAGCATGCTATTCTTCCTTTGTATTTAATAACAGGCCATTTTCTGAGTTGAGCTCACCATAGATACACTGGCCTCACGTTGTCCAAGCAGAATGATGAAATGTACGTAAAAGAGAAAATACTAGTTGTATTTTGTCTGGTGTGAAATTAACTGTGTAGTCACTCCTCCATTATGGAAAGTTGTTTTTTTAATAACTATTACCCTCATAGCAAATCTAATAATCTTTTTGTTAGATTATTACTCTAATTTTTTTTTATTTTTTATTTTTTTTTGAGTTGGAGTCTCACTCTGTCACCCAGACTGGAGTGCAGTGGCCGCTCCCGGCCACCGCAGCCTCAACCTGCTGGGCTCCGGCGATCCTTCCGCCTCAGCCTTCCAAGTAGCCAGAATTACAGGCATGCACTACCACGCCTGGCTGATTTTTTTATTTACTGTAGAGATGAGGTCTCGCTGCCCAGGTGGGTCTCGAACCTGCGGGCTCAGGCAATACACTCACCTCAGCCTCCCAAAGGCGAGGGATTACAGGCTGAGCCACCAAGTCCAGCAGATTATTACTCTGATTTTTTAAATAGTTCCTATGTAAATTCATCAACAAAGTTTGGATTTGGTGAGTGATAATTTTAAGATGTCAAAAATACCTTTTTTATTATGTGATACGTTGTGTACAAGGTGCTAAATTTTTTTTGCAGTAGATATTGAAGTCATTCTGCCTTGCTTATGAGAAATTTGTTGGACCAAACTTTTGTTTCTAAGTTTCCTTACAGCCTTACCTGGGATCTTTCAAAGTAGGCTTTCTATGTTTTGATCACTCTTCTGAGGTAAAGATAAGTTTGTCTAATGCAAGTACTAAAGCAGATTGTTTATACTCTATTACTGATTTGGTGATTTTAGTACATTCAAATTACTGTTTTCTTCTATCCCCTTAAAATATTAATTCCTATATAAATTAAACTTACTAATTTGCTTAGCAAAACTCTAGCTGCCCTATGGTTTTATTTCCTTAACAACTAGAAAAGAACAAACTCAGGGAATATAAATTTTCTCCATGAGGTTGTTTAAATTCAGTTGACATTTTAATGTGAATTATATTTGAATTCAAATGCCACACACATGTTTGAGACTGGTTCCTTGGCTTTTCTTGCTGGTACATTGTGTTTCTCACTGTACTGTTCTTTTACATTGCCTCATGTCTGAAATGAACCTAATTTTGAAACTTTTTACATTTTATTTCCTGGGTTAATTATATGAGTTTGTGGGAAACCACACATATTGAAAGTATATCTCTGTAAATGATAACATGTATCAGTTGATAAGAGGTAAATACTTTGTTACTTAAATGTTTTTAACCACCTATAAGGAAGCACATAGAAACATGGTTTTAGTGTAGAGGTGCCAATTTTCTAATACCTTCTTTTATTGAACTTACTAAAAGAAGTCTTGTTGGAAGTGGGGTAATATTGTTTATACAATAACAATGAAAAGAGAATGGAGACCTAAATGACAAGATGGTCTTATACACAAAGGTCTGTACATGAAGATTAGTTACACTGAAGAGGTTCCTGAGAACACAACTTGCTGTTTTCTCTCTCTCTCAAAAAAATGGAGACAGACTTTTTACTCCATTTCCTGGATACCCTCTTGGGCCCAGTATCCTCAGAACTGTTTCTCCCACCTTTTCTGGCTAATCTGACTCACACCTTACACCTCTTTTGCCATGTGCTAATACCCCCAACCCTATTTTTTTTAATCACTTCTTCCAAAGTACCCTCTACTCTAGTCAAAAAGAAAACCCTCTCCCCTTCCCAACGTCTCTCTCTTTGCCTAATGAACTTTTACTCATCATTTAAGACCCACCTTGAAATGTCAGCTCATCTGTGGACCTTTTCATGATTCTCCTAGACTGTGTTAGTTTGCTTCCTCCTGTGGGCTCCCATAGCACTGTTTAAGAGGAACCATCATCCATGCCTCCCACCAGAGTGTAGACTCCTCTAGATGTGGGGCTGTGGTTTCAGGAACCAGCTTGTGTTCTTATTTATGGTGGACTCTCAATAAACTGTTCTCAATAAACTGTGAACAGATAGTGAGCTGAAAGAAATAGTTGTTGAATAAAGAAAGGCATCTGTTTAAAGTAAGAAGGAGACCAGAGTTGAGAATTTTCAGATTCTGTATTCTATATCTATTTACTCCAGTATCATGCTCACTTTTTCTTAGAAAAAAATGTTGCTAACTCATGTTGGATAAGTACTAGCTTTAATATATAAGGAAGGAAGAGTTTAAGACTGTCCCACAGATGGTACTGAACCTTAGAAATTACCAAAAGGAAGATGCAGGCCTTCTTCTTGTACCAAGAAAAAGAAGGTAATTTCCAATTTCGGTCATTTCTAAGCAAAAAAAGAGCTTATACTTTAGGTAGCAATCCAGAAAAAAAGAGTAGATTCAAATTCACTCAGCAAAAAAAGCTTATACTTTAGTTGGCAATCTAGAAAAACAGAGTGGAATCACTGAATGTAAGAAATGAATTGCAAACAAAAAATAAACCTGAGTTATATAATTCTGTTTAATTATTTTAGCTGTAAAACTCCCCATGTGTAGAAACAGGCAGATTTTCAGGGAATTTGGTTATAGAGTAGAGATGACTACACAGTCTCAGACATTGATTGCTGAATTAAAAAGAAAGATGTTGTTTGATCATTTAAAACGATGTGGATTGGAATGTGATGATGATGATGATGATGAAGATGATGAAGAAAACTTGTTTATGAGACATTTAAAAAATCCTGGGAAGAATTTTTAAATGTGTTGTGAAGAACTTCTGAAAATATTAGCCAATGTCAGAAACAAAGTCATGAGCCAAAAGGACTATTTTTGAATTTAGGCTTGTGATTTGCCTTCTATTAACTTTTTTTTTTTTTGAATGAATAAAATTCTCGAATATTTATGGAGAATTGTTTATAAATGATTCCACACGTTAGGAAACTGGAATTTTAAAAGATCCATAGGATTTCATGATTAAAAACAGGGTGATTTTAAATATGTGGCCTTCCTAGGTAATGATCCAGATTTCTATTCACCGTGAGACTTTTTTTAAACTAAGTGTTTATTAGTATTCATCATTTATGCAGCATGAAGATTCTGAAGGCTCTTTGTTATTTGAGAACACATCTATTTGAGAATTGTAAAGTGTATCACTGCTGGATTTTTCTATTTGTTTTTGCTAGATCTACAGATGACTCTTGGTTTACTTGCACCGAGCCTAATAAATCTTTAATTACTTTCTATTTGTTGTGTCACTTGTAGGTGATGTGGTCTTTGGAGTTTGGTCACTGGATTTCCGAGGAGCCATTTGAGCTTTCAGACCACTTCCCTGCAGCTCCTGTAAGTCAGATGTTGTTTATGATGATAACTGCAACTTGGTATTCTCAAGAAATTATTATAAGCATAGAAATAAGCTCAAGTTTTGATCAAGTCAAAAGCAATTATGGCCATAATTAAAAAGACATTCAGGCCAGGCATGGTGGCTCAAGCCTATAATGGTAGCACTTTGGGAAACTGAGGCAAGAGGATTACCTGAGCCCAGGGGTTCAAGACTAGTCTAGGCAACCTGGTGAAACTTCGTCTCTACAATAAATAAATAAAAAATTAGCCAGGCGTGGTAGTGCATTCCTATAGTTCCAGCTACTTGGATGGCTAAAGCAGAAGGATTGCCTGAGCACAACAGTTTGATACTGGGGTGGCCGTGAGCATGCCACTGCACTCCAACCTGGGCAACAGAATGAGACTCTGACTCAAGAAAAAAAAAACATTCAGAGAACTTAATACATTTTAATCTATTTGTGAGAATGTGGAAACATTCTGCAAAACATAATGAGAAATGTATATCTTAGAAATTTTAATTATGAAAGTCCTCAAAATGGAGAAAACCAAGAATGAAAAAAAATTAAATTCTTGGGAAGGTAATACTTTATCTTATTAGTAGAGATAGAATTGATAGGTATAAAAATTGTGTCTTGCTAGCATTGTGATATGGTCTTTATATTTTGATAAAAATAGGAATTTCTCCTAAACTCCACTTCAACTTTACTGACTTTTAAGTATCTCAAATGCTAAATCAAAATGTTTCAGGTTCTAATTATTCAAAATATTAAGTAATAATTAAGTAGGTAAGTTAAGGTTTGATTGGAAACAGGATTGTGCAAAAGTTGGCTTTCATTTTCAAAAATGTTGACTGGTTTGTGACAGTTTATTCTTTCAAAAGATGAATACCAGAATGATTACGTGGTGATATTTTATCTGCATCAGTCTTGTATTTAGTTGTTTGAGTAGGGCATATGACTATAACAGAACAAGAATTTGAACTCTACTCTCTAACCACTATATTTGTCTAGGCTGTTGGGGTTTTTTTGTTTTTATTTTTAAGATTACTGTTTTGATTTTCTTTCAATTATATGCATGTTTTCTTAAGGAGAGAAAAAAAAATTCTCTTAGCAAGACTGTTTGAAATAGTGTAAGGAATTGAAGTGTAAAGTCAAAACACAAATTCTCCCCATTCTCTGTCATAAGAGATACGACAATAGATATAACTGAATAGCACAGTAAGGTTTGTTCTTGAAATTCAAGTTACCTGCATACATGAAGAATTGTTATAAATTAAATATCTTGCCAATTTTTCCTGTATTATCATTTCTTTACTATCTGTCACTGTGGTCATAGAACTGTTGTAGAAACTTAATGTTGTTTTTTGATGCTGTTAAGTTTTCTTATTCTCCAGTGTTTTTTAACTTGATACAAAGCCACAAATGTTGAATTTATAAAGGCTACTTAAATATAAAATAGATACAGTTCTAAGATAGAGAGTTTCTTTACTTAGTTCAAGAGTTGTTGGGAAAGTGCATCTTTGTGGGAAGAAACCAGAGAAGCCTTGACTTTTTCAGAGCCCATAATTGACTCAAAATATGTAACCGCACACATGGGTTATAAGACTGCACTGAGGATGGTAACTAGTAGGGGTAAAATAAATTAGATTTTTAAAAATGGAGTAGAGAAAAAAATAATGGCAGAACAGTATAATGTGAAGATAGCCATGTAGTCAATGCTGGCTGAAGATTTGACTCTGCACTTCCTAGTGAATGACTCAAAAAAGGAATATGTGAGGAATTGCTTTTAAATTATAAAGCATTATATAAATGTTCATAAGTTTAATTGTAGTATGAAAACTTCAAAAGGAGTTAAAACTCTAGGAGCTTAAGGTTTGCACTCTTGAGCGTAAAGCCATGTTCTCAAATTTTCTGTAAACATTTAAGGATACTGTGATTATCAGATTTTGTTTCTGCACTTTGAGACACTTCATTTTTTTTTCTTTTCTTTATTCTAGTTTGTTGAGGGATATAAAAAAATCTTACTCGTGCAAAAAAATTTTTAAATAAGTTTAAGGTGAATCTTGAGAATTATTCCTTTGTAAAAGTCTTACATGAAAGATTTTTCTCATCCACAAATTAAACTGTCTAGTTCTATAAAAATACACCTTGCTAGAAAATAGACCTCTGTCTTAAAATACTGAGAAGATAGTAAAGTCTCTTGGTTGTAGAATTAAATGCATAATTTTCTTCATCATTAAAAATAAAATGTTTCCTTACAATCAGTTCTTTCAGAACCAAATTACAAAATTGCAAATATTATCATAAAATTAAACATAGACAACTCGCCTAATAAGTTATATTTAATTACTAAAAACACCTCCATATTTAACAGCCAGGCAGAAAAAAAAAAGACAATCTTCCTATAAACTAAAATGGCACACATTTCTTTTGGTAATTTCAGAGATCTTGGAAGTTTCCACCATATAAACTTGAAATATGTATTTGAGCATTAACTTAAAACTAAGCTGTCAACATATGTGTAAATATGCTGTTTTCAAAATAAAAATTTAAAGCACCTAGGAGGTGGGATAAAAATGCACTAACTTTTTTCAAATATTAAGCTGTTAATAACACACTTCTCAGAAAATCCCTGAAGATATATTTTATGGCTTAGAGAATTTTTTCCTCCTTTTAATTGGTGATAGTGATGCTGAATTCAGGACATATGGATATTTACACAGTCTATAAACAGTGCTCAGAAGAATGCAGTTCCCAGATGATCTGTACTGTATAACATAAGTGTTCTGTTTTCCAGTTATTTACTGATAAACTCACACATAACATTCTTGGTTGTGACAGCAGAGTCTGTAAATCGTCAGTCTGATTCTCAACCTTGAATTCATCTTCATGTAGGTGTTCTACCACATCACTATACCAGATGTTGAGGGTTTTCTTTGGTCCGTTAAGTGACACAGGTTTAAGTGATGAAGCTTATGGGCCCTAATTTGGAGTCTGTGAGTCCTGCCAACCCCTGAGAGCATACCCTCTGAGGTGGAAGAGGACACCATGCTCAAGTGTGTCCTTCAGTGCTTTGGGCTGAAGTCTTTGAAATAGCACAATACATTCTTCATCCGGTATACCCAGGCATTTAGAAACTTGCTGGTCGGATCATCATGGTAGTGGCCTTGAGCGAGTAGCCCGACCCTTTCCAGTAGTACCACTTAATGCCGTTGAACTTATTTGTGTTCTGCCTTTGTGGATAGTACATTCCGTTCAAGTTGGAAGGACCACATGCATCAAACCACCAGCCTGTGAAAGTAAAACACAGAAGGAACTGGGAATTAGAAATACTCAGCTAAGCCAATAGTCACATTCCATGCATTTAAAGTAGGCACATGCAAGTGTTTGTGAATATAGGATATGCTGCACTGGCAGAGGTAGGGTTTTCCAGCTTTACATGGATGAAATCATCATTCTATTATGGTGATTGTTTGTACAGACTTTCTTTTTCTCTTCTCTTACGCTGTGTGGAGGGTGTGAATCCCCCGTGACCCTGGTTTGGTGGGCACACAGAACTTTCACACTTAAAGCCCAGATAAGCAAACATCTGAGAACTGGTAGACGACTCTCTCCAGGGCAGGATTATATTCCAGTCCCAGCAACATGGTGGGCCAGACTCACTCGGGCTCCCCTCCCTCTACTAAAAACAAGAGTTTTGGTTGAAATACAACCCAAAGTGTTAAGTACTTAGTTGAGCTAGATTAAAAAGAAAATCTCTAAGTTGCAGAGACAAAAAGGAAGTTTAAAGCTAGAGTGGTCGTGCTCACTTCGTCAGAGCAGGGGCGGGAGGGGTGCCCAGGACAGCGGGGTGTGAGAGTGGATCCCCATCTACACCTTAATCCCTGGGCTTGGCTGGAAAACAGGCTTTCAGGAATAGAGTATCTGAAGTTTCACTTTCTGAAGTTTCAGATACCTGCAGTCAGCCATGGTCCAAAAATAGTGGATAGAAAATTCCAGAAGTAAACAATTCATAAATTTTAAATTGCATGCTGCTCTGAGTAATGTGATGGAATCTCCCACCATCCACTCCATCCCACCTGGGACACAAATCACCCCTTGCTTCCCTGTCTCTACACTGTCTATACCACCTGCCCACCATCTTGGTTATCAGATCCAACTTACTGTGATACCACTGCTCTTGTGTTTAAGTCACCCTTATTTGACTTAATGATGGCCCGAGAGTGCAAGAGGGGTGATGCTGGCACTTCCAAGATGCCAAAGAGAAGCCATAAAGTGCTTCCTTTAAGTGAAAAGGTAAAAATTTTCCACTTAATAAGGGAAAAAAAAAGAAATCGTATGCTAAGGTTGTTAAGATCTATGTAAGAATGACTCTTCTAGCTGTGAGGTTGTAAACAGCGTATTGTTATAATTGTTCCATTTTATTATTAGTTATTGCCGCTAATTTCTTACTTTGCCCAATTTACAAATTAAACTTTATCATAGGTATGTGTAGAAAAAAAATCACAGATAGTTTTGTACTATCTGCGATTTCAGGCATTTGCTGAGGATCTTGGAAAAGTGAGGACTACTGTAACCTTGATTTAGAAAGTATTAATCTGAATAAGTCTCAAAAACATTGTGTTGGAGGGACATGTGCGGTGTGACAGTACTTATAGTTTTAAAATACAGAAAACAATAGCAATAACTATCACAATCTCCATAAATAGTAAAATGAATGAATAATGTGAACAAACCTCAGCTCGTCTACCAAAGCAGCAGATAGGGAGTGACCTCGTTGGAGCCTCTTGCCTTACCTGTACTACTTTATTTCTTACATGAAAATTCTGATGCAAAATAATATTTACGATATGTTTACACATTGGTTTGTGAGTTCCTGTTTTATCCAGATGCCTGAGTTCTACACTGGTGAGAATCGCTCAATGACTTGAGTTGATTCAGATTACTGTAGATTTAATAAGCAGTGTGTATGCGTTATTCAGACACCTTCAGATATTCAGGAACATTAGATTCATAGATCAGTCCCTTCTGGAGCCTGCTGTCCGACTTAACTATAGAACTTGCTTTCTCTGCAAAACGCTAGCTGCCCATGAGGCTGGATCATTCATGGTCCAGACCATAGGCTAGAATCTGACCTCTTTCTCTCTTGGGCTGCTTTTCCTCTCCTGTCTCTTTTCCAATTTCATTCTCAGCCCCTAAATCTTGATTTGAGTAAGTAAATATACTGTTTCCTTGGTTATTAATATGAGTAGCCCGCCACACACGGGTGGTCTGAAAACCTCCACTTGCTCCAGGAGAGAGCCAGTTCCAATGTGTGGAACAGGGACAGGAAATAAAGCATGAGGTGTATGTGGTCCCTTCACCCAACCCTCTCCCCCTTTTCTGGCTTTAAAAAAGATGACTGTGCTGTGATGAGGGAGACAAGCAGTTATTTTGCAAAATCAATATAAGAGCTTTTGTTCTTTGGCATAATTCTAGCCTATAGGGAAGATCACGATATCAGATAGAAACTGCATGATCTCAAGAGCCAGAGGATTGATTTTTTTTTCTAATGGGGCCTAATCCTTCCAGTATTAAAGAAATAAAATTTAAATACATGAAAATTATTGAATTTCATGTTGTTTTCATAAATTCTCCCTTAGACTGTAAATGATTCTTCTTACAGTATAAATATACTATAACTTGGATCTTCTACTTGTTTTACATAGTAACTTGTATTTATAAAATATATGGACCACAGCTCTTACTTTTAGTTTTTCTAGATGAGTAATGCTTCATTTTTTGTGAATATGAGGGGTACCCACCCCCCAAAAAATTCAAAATTTATTTATTAAAAATTGTGTATTTATTCTTACATATTTAAATTTCAGTCACCTTCAAAGTACTCTCCACTTGATGCACTACACCTATGGAGATGCTTTTTCCTTGTTCAAAACAGTTTTTGAACTCATTGATTTTGATACCTTTTTATGCATGTGCTGTTTTTTTGTTTCACCTCTTCCACACTGGCGAAGTGTTTCCCTTTGAGGAACTTTTTCATCCAGGGAAACAAACAAACAAAAAAGTCACTCCGGTCGAGAACAGATGAATAGGGAGGGTTGGAAGTCATGCCATTTTTGTTTAAAAACTGATGAACACTCAATGCAGTGGGGGCACAAGCGCTCATAAATCCCCCATCGTGAAATGGGCAGGTGCATGAAACCATCTCCAAAAAAATTTCACTGAAGCCAAACACAGCCTCTCACAACAACATTGGCTGATACACAAATGCCGATGAGTTCCTAGAACACTTACCTAGCAGGGAAAACCTGTACTACAAGGGGTCTGCCCACCAAAAAAAAAATTCTGGTTTTTTGGGGGTCCTTCCTTGTATAGTCTATGTTCTTTACAAATCAAACCCTGCCAATTTACCTGTTTTTCTTTACATTGAGTTTGTACTATTAGCAGAGTTTTTTGTTGCTGTTTAAATGTTCAGTGTTTTCAAGAAATAACTTGACGGTGTGTGTTAGACTTTTTTCTTGTCTCAGTCACTACTGATTCCTGTAAGTCAATTTTCTAAAGTTGTAAAAATTGGAAAAATACATTTTTTAAAAGTTGATTCCTATCATTGAACTCTTAAATGTTTCTGAATACCAACCTTAGACATTTTAAGTGACTGCTGCAACAGTCTTTTGCTTATGGGTATGGTGTTCATTATCATTTTTTAAAGCAAATGATACTAAAGGTAGAAAACAAGAAAGACCTTAAAATAAAAAGCCATTCATTTTACTTTAACGTACTGAAAAAGCAGACTGGTTAATTGGTTTGTGTTTATTTGTTAATGAAATCCTCTTAAAGAAAGACAACTAAAAATTTCTTGTTTAAACATTAAATTATTCATTGGAAATAGTTCTATAATGGCAAATCTTATCATTGTTTTGGTTACCATGTTAAACTTTTTTAGTAAAGCAAAATGGAATTATACCATCTCTCTGACATCTGATAACCTGGCAAACACAAACTCAAGAGAGCTTGCTGAATATCAAATGTCCCCTCTCCCCTCCAGGGGTAGGTCCTGAGGAGACACAGTTGGCCTACTGACAACTCCAACTCCTCCTCACTTTCTTGCTTAAAACTTAGTCTAAAAAAGTGAAAAATAGTTTTACCTATATCGAACTAATAGGCCTATTCATGACATTTGGACATTGTTACCCGTCACAGATCCAGATTGCCAGCCTCCCCCCATGAAACTGTCCCTTGCCAATATAAATAGGAAGACAGACAGCCATCCCTACCTCCTGTTAGCATTTGTGAGCACTTGCAGATACATTTGTCGTTGTCTGCGTCCTTTGTGCTAAAATCATTTCCTGGTTGGCTTATGCTGCTTATTTTGCCGGCTGTCCCTGTCAGTCCTTTAAGGTGAATCCTGTGAGCGTGCAAAGGAAAAATAAATAAATAAATATTTGGCTTGGGTTGTTGATTTACCGTAGGGGGAAATGTTTCGTAGTGAAGAATTCCATCCCACAGAGGCGCGTTCCGTACTCGTTAGTGTACTAATGCATACTCTGGACAAAATATTTTACACTGGTATAAACAGGAACCAACTTATCATCAAATCCTTCGGCAAAGAGGGATGTTTTTGTGAAACCTTCAACACATATCACTTGCATGAGTATCAACAGGGACTGCGGGGCCCTGTCATTTATTTTCCTGCTGCTTTCAGATAAACAGAAAGGAGGGAAGTGCCACACGAGGGGACCTCTTCCCAGGTCCCCAGCCGTCCGCCATATTGAAATGAGAAGCCTGTGGTGACTGGACAACCTCAAACATCATTAGTTTCAGCAGGGGGTGGGTGTGACAGGGGGCAGTGGACAGCATGGAATGATCACTGAGTTGGGGTAGAAATTTATAGAACAGTGTAGAAACCAAATCCTCATGACAGCTTTGCCTCATATCTATATAATAGTGTAATAAACTTTTTGGACACTGGAAAAGGAATAAATATCATACTAACATAGACACTAGATAATAGCCCACATGATTAGGATACTGATGCTCCTCACCTTACCATGGGTTATGGTCCAATAAACCCATCATAAGTTGAAAACACCGTAGGGTGAATGTGCAGGTAATAAACCTAACCTACCAGATATCACCACTTAGCCTTGCCTGACTGTCAGAACCCTGACATTAACCCACAGTTAGGCAGGATCGCCTGGCAGCGCAGTGCACAGCAGACGAATTGTTGACCCTCGTGATCACGAGGCATACAGGGAGCAGCCCAGTGTCATGAAAGACTGTTGTACCACATGTCACTAACTGGGCAAAAGGTCAAAATTTTAAATGTGAAGTCTGCCTCTGCAAAATACATATCACGTTTGCAGCATCGTAAAGCTGAAAAACTGTAGGTTGAACCAGTGTAAGCTGGGGACCATCTGAATTGCAAAAATATGGCTTACATCAGTATGCCCATGAGGAAAAACCAAGGGACTGGGGAAGAAAACGTGTTTTGTTTTTTTAATTTCCCATAACTATGCTCAAAAGTCACTGCTGCAAAAAAGCCCCCTGGCAGGTGGTTCAGGACAGATGGGAGCAGGTGTCCGCGTCACGGGGTGGGCAATGCCACTGTGTTGGTGCACGGAGCATTGGACTCTGGGGTCTCACGCCCTGATGGGGACACGGGCATGTGGAGATTCAGGCGAGGTTCCTACAGAGCAAAATTCAGCCATGGCAACAGGAGAGGTATACATTAAGCATCAAAGTGCTGCTCTTCTTTGTAAAACCTGCTAATGTTTGCTGACCACTACTTTGTGATAATATAATTTCCAAGAGTTTCTGTTGGAACAAAACACAGAGAAGAAAGAAGAGGTTCACTCAGTTCCACCTGCCTGCCAGGCCAGGCTGGGCACTTACACCATATGCACATGGGTTGCTTATAACTTCCCCCAGCGGTGGTCGCCACAGAAAGTCATGAGCTTGACATAGAAAGTCATGAAGGTTCAGAGATACAAATTTGTCCAAGGTCAGACCGGTAAGCTGTGGAGGTAGGATTTCCACCAGGTGCAGCAAACCTCTCTGCCATATTCCCCACCCCTCTGCCGGCACACCTTCATGGAGATGTTTGTTGAGGACAAAGCTGTGAAAAAGTGGGGGCCATGTCACATGGGGCTCCATAAGTGTCAGTCCTAAGTTACTTTGATGTTAATGGCTTAGATTAAAAAATAATTCTTCCTGGAAACGTCATCACAAGGCATTGGCTGAACAACTGAATTTCAGTGTTTCCCTACATGTTTCAAAAGTGAGATTGATCCTAGCTCAGTCCTTAAAATACCTGCTGCAAAATGTTAATTGAATAAGTTCACCATCATTGGGATCTTGAAACACTTCCTTCCCAGTCTTTTCTCATTAATCATAGACAGGACTGAGGTGAACTGCTTGCCCTGCTTGTCCTCCTTTCAACTCTCCTGTCTCCTTTGAACAATTTCAGTTCTCACTGAGCTCATTAAATTTCCCCAAAGGAAAGCAAAATAAGGGAGAATGCTGTTTTTGATGAGTCTTTATTAGAAAGGTTGTGTAATTTTAGATCCTTCTGTGGCCCACTGGTTTAAAGTGCTCTGTTTAAAACTGGGTAATTATAAATGTGTTCTTGAAATTGCTTTACATGGTATCAGTTGATTTCATGGAACAGTGGAGTAAAGAGGTGGTGTCAGCATTTAATAATTAAATCTCAGTGTTCATATAATACTTCCAGAACATGTGTGAAAGTGACCAATTTTAAAGATTTAGTGTACAAATTGCTTTCAGTATCATTAAAAAGAATCAGATTCTACTGAAGCATTTATCCATGACTTATAACATGTATTTTTCAGTTTTCCAACATTTGGGTAACCTTTCTTCAGACCAGAAAAACAAAAACTTTGGTTCTACATGCATTTGGCATTTGGAAGCATTTGTAGTTATGAAAGGTTTTAGTCTATTCACAGTTCTCTTATCACATAGCATCATGTTTTATTAGGATATTAATTTTTGCTGTAGTATCTATTTTATGTTGCCAAGTAAATTAAACTAAACTTTAAACCAGTGTATATGTTTTTAAATGGCATATCCAAGAATTGACTGTATTTCTAAAGGAATGTCTATTAAGCACCATCTCAGTTTAAAATATTTTTATAATGTCAGCGTACAAGGGTAATGACCCATTTTGTAAAATCTTCCTATTCAAACAGTCTAATCCTTAATTTTTGTTTCTTTTTTTTGTTATTATTATTCTGCTTTTGTGGTTTCCTAATTGTTACCAGTTGAAAAAATATTTAGCTTGGAGGTAAAACAATGACCCACCGCTTGTGTCTCGGAATTCATTGAAGTTTCGATCTCTTTGGAATCGAGTTGGAACTGCTGTGAGGCTCAAAAACCTATCTTTTCATTCATCTCAGCGGTGTCCCCTCCAGGGGAGCCCTGTTCTTTGTGCCACAAGAACTGATGAAATATGCGTCACTGACTTTTTAAAAGCCACGTCAGTGTTTCTCTGCTTCTCAAACATGCTTCTGAATTTTGATCCACTGTGTGTGAAGCAGGGCATGCTGGGCACTGTATAGTTCTCAGGTAGTTGTCCCAGCAACTCGACTTTCTACCGCTTCTCTGTACTGCCCACTGCGACCTTCCCCTGGGAAGCTGTTCAAGGACTTTGGAATCATGTTTGCTTTCCAAACTATTCTGTCTGTGGAGCTTCACCAACAGAAGGTCTGCAGTGGGCACTAATGAGTTTAGGACGAGACTATCCGGATGATGACTGTCTTCTGGGATGCTTCTGTTGAACTTCATTTGCTGATCCCTGACCTCAGTAGGTATTTCATGTGTGCTCCGTGATCACCAGATGTCACCAGTCTCTCTTTAACCTCATTCAGTGATGTCAGTGACTTAACCATTCTCAGATCAATTGCTGAGGTACCCTCAGCATATGGTCTCATGTCTCTCTCTCTCCCCCCTCATTGCACATGCATTTCAGGTGCCTGTGTACTGGCATAACTGTGCATGTGACCATTCCTTACTTGTCTCACACAGTAGACCATCAAGACTTGTCCTTCTCTGTGTCAACTCTCATAGCATTTTAGAGCCAGAAAGTAAGTTCCTGGTCGAGGTTGCCCATGCTGTTATTCAATATTTTTGTCATCGGAAAGGTGGGGACAAGGCAAATACTAAGGGAGTGTTGTAAATCTGATGTACTTTCTACACAAGAAAGTGGGTAGTTGACTAACCATCGCATCTAATCCTGCCTTTTGTCAACTTGGTAACTAATCCTGACTTTGCGATTGAATACAATTGAATGTGTTTAAACTTCAAATGGATAGATTAACTTTAAAACATTTCTGAAGAAAACAATGTAATAATATGTATTCATCTGTTAGACAGTTCACATCACATAACATATTATCACAGGGACACTTGACATTCATTTATTTTGCAAATAGCTGTGAACATCCATTATCTACCAGGTACGGTTCTTCTGGGCTTTGAGGAACCACAGGCAACATACTGTCCTTATTAAATTTTCTTTATATTGTTATAACCTAAGTTAGAGTTTTAAAACCATAGAAACTTACCTAAAGCACAATAATACCTCTTAAGAAGCAAAAAAAAAAAAAATTTTTCATTTAATAGTCTAAGAGTTATTTAGATCTTGATTAAATTAATGTGGTTCTCACTTTCTGGAATAATCACCCAGCAAATATTTTCATTCTTTTTTCAAGGACAAATAATTTGCTTACCTATAATTGAGCTCTTCGCTTGAGAGATAGAAATGCTCATATAGTGAGTAGGCTTCATTCCCTTCCCAGTCTTTAAGGTGTATCTTAAGCATGTAGCGCTGCTGATTAGTCAGTTGTGCAACAAACTCATTTCCCAACCAGTATTCTCCTGAAGGGTTACCAAATCCCTGGAATGCAAGTTGTAACATTCAGTTACTTCATTTATCTCTTTCTTTATGAAATTAACAGTCCATCAGTTTAGCATAGATAACTATCAAATAGCAGAAATTGCTTCTGGTGCTATGAATTACTTCAGGGTCTTTTGTATAGGAAGTTGATATCAAATAGACCAGTTATAACAAAACCAAACTGTTGCTAGAAGGAAATTAGTACTGGAATAATTAGAACTATTTGGGGAACCACCCATAGAAACCTAAGGATACACAGCCATGTTTATAGAAACGTGAAACACGTAACAGTTGGCTTACCAAAAAATGCTAAGCTTGTCTTTAAAATTAAACTGAGCCCTGGCATGCTGTATTTTGATACATAGTTTACCTAAATTGACCGTTCTTTAATGGAGAGACTGAAACACCAATTTGAAGAACGCTTTGGTTAGATAAGATAAAAATTAAAATTAAAATACGTAAGGTCATTGTTAGTTCTGGATTTGCAGTTAAGGTTCTGCAGATCTTGAAAGTTAGTTTTCACAGGGGAAATTGTTTCTTTTCAGATGCTTTAGCAAATATCCATACCACTTTATATTCTTTCCAAGTCCTCTGAAAGTCAACACTGCCATCTTCCCGTCGCTGAATAATTGTCCACCCGCCTCCACCAGTTTCCAGGTCACAGTAAGCCTGCGAACGAGAACACAGAACGTGGGTGACAGAGGCCTACCTCTTAAGTGACACAGACAAGACTAATGTAGACACCTGGTATGGGACTCATGTGGATAGGGTTCTCTTGGATAAGGCATGGGGTCCATCTCTGTGGTCTCCCGAAAAACAGATGCTTTTAAGTAAATTGGAAATGATGGGTTTTAAAAGCTGATGACAGTAAACAGTAATATGATACAAAGTGTTGAACGTATCACTTGCTTGTCACCATCTGTTCCAGGCTGCTTTTTAGAGGTTCATGGTGAATGGGACATCTTAGCAGATTAACTCCGAACCCCCACATCTCCAACCTGTAAAAAAACAACTACTCATGTTCACAGCCTTGAGAGCCTTTCCCTGACTGTCCACCCCTCTCAACTCTGCAGAGTTGTGGAAAGGGGTACTCTTCCACTGTAGGGTTTCCAAGACCCCCTTTACATTCTCATGCTGTGGAACTACTAAGTTTCTTGGTTCTGCCCTCAGTGCGTGGGCCTGAGGCTCCAGTGTCCCAGTGCAAGGTGTGTGACCAAGCTTGGCCAGCGGTTCTGCCCCACAGGGCATGTCTCGGGAGTCCCTGTACTTTGCTCACCACCCATGGTATTCCATGGTATTGACTTCTGCTCTTAAACTGGCTCAGTGGATTTCAACTTTGTCCAGAACACAGAACTCATTCTTGGGCCAAGAGCATGCATGCCCAATTTCAACTCAGCTGGAGTTTTACTATGAAATTAAAAACCCCTGAAAATAAGATTACATAAACAGTTTTAAATAATAAGATTATAATAGAACAGAAAAGTTTTCCAGAAAGTTAAGATAAATTTTCTACAACATGCTAGGTAGGAAATATTAAAGTCAAGGTTCAAAGCCAATTATAAATATTCTTTCTTTGTTGTTCTCCACAGTCTTTTTGAGAATAATGGAGGAGACAATTGTGGTCAACTGTTCATATTTACGAGTTAGAATCCTAGAGATGAGAGCTAAAATGTAACTAACTGAGCACCTCATCCAATGCTTTCATTTTATACATGAGGAGACAGGGACCCAAGAAGTGAAGCTGCCAGGTGCCCCATTGCTAGTGAGGCTGGAGAACTGTCCCTGGAGCAGCCTGCCCTGGGGGGACTGCTCTCCACCATTGGTCCAAGCCCTCTCCAGGAAGGTCATGGGGTTCACATTGTCTTCCCCAGTGGCCCTCATGCCTGGAAAGATATGAGCCATTAAAGAAAGTTACATTTATCAAGAAGAAAATTATTTCCCCGTTTTAAATTAATCAGATATAGAAAATTCCTCTTAAGGTAGCGCCTTACTATCATTCTGTATTGAAATTAGTACTAATTTCATTGTTATTATTACAACACATCACTCTCTTCCAAACGCTATGCCAGATGCTTTGTATATATTATCTATAATTTCACAGCAACTTGGTGAAATGGTAATTCTGCCTTTTTGAAAGAAGTTACCTAGTGAAGTTAGATTAATTTGATCAGCGTTACTCAGCTGTTAAGTGGCATAAGATTTGAATAAGGTCTCTTTAATACCTAGCTATAAAGTTTTTTTCCCACTACATCATGCTGCCAAAAACAGAGAAACTTGACTCTTTTGTTAATAGGCCAAAAGTCCCTCAACACAATCCCAAGTTGAAATCAGTTTATGAGTAATATTGCCTCTCCTCTGCCTGTGGTTAACAAAATGGTCAGTGTTGCTCATGTCTATCAATATGTCCTTTAAAACCCATTTAGTAAGCTAGTAGAATAAGCTACATTGGTTTGAGGATTCATCTGTATATATAGCAGTCAATTCTCTTGTACCCTAAATGGCGTGCTGGTAGGTTGAAGGAATTGATGTGATTCTTAGTGAGCCTATCCTTGTTTCAAGAATATTTGACTCTTCAACGTCAAAATCACCGTTATGAAGTTACTGGTGTTTAACTACATGTTCTCTCTTCTTCAGGAAAAAAGTTTATCTTGTTATGGAAGTCAGAGACAAGACTCTCAAACATCTGAGAGTCACTGCTGGGACATAAGTGATTCCAGCCATGTCACCACTTTCTTTGATTCCATTAGTGATGATGATGATGATAAGTTTATTAGAACATTTTCTTAATGCTTTATTCAAGTTTTTAGAAAAAAGAAGATTTATAAAAACTGGAGTATTGGGGTTAATTGGGCCATAAAACTTGCAGAGGAAGATAATGCTCAAATAGATTTATCTACATAGCCAAAATATGTTGAGTAAAAATGCTGAAATAGAGTCTATCAGGATCAGAAAAGCAGAAGTCCTCAGATGCTGCCCGAGGCCTCGCCTCTCCAATTGCAACAAACTCGAGGGCAGTAAATACTTTTAATTAGGACAGCATTTGCATGGTTCGGGAACCTGATGTCTTCCTATAAAGCTTGATGTTTTTCAGCAAATAATACTTGACTTAAAAGTTGCACTTTGCCGGGCTCAGTGGCTCAGCCTGTAATCCCGCACCTTTGGGAGGCTGAGGTGAGTGGATTGCCTGAGCCCGCAGGTTCGAGACCGCCTGTGCAGCGAGACCTCATCTCTACAATAAATCAAAAAATCAGCCAGGGCGTGGTAGTGCATGCCTGTAATTCCGACTACAGGCTGGAAGGCTGAGGCAGAAGGATCACCGGAGCCCAGCAGGTCGAGGCTGCTGTGTCCAGGAACGGCCACTGCACTCCAGTCTGGGCGACAGAGTGAGACTCCAACTCAAAAAAAAAAAAAAAAAAGTTGCGCTTTGACTTTGAGGCCATGTTTATGTGACTGATTAAATAGTGAACAGAGATAAATATTAGGAGTCAGGTATCCTGTGAAATTTAGGGAAGGAGACTATTACGGCTTTAACAAGTAAAAGCATACTGTCATGTGTCTAAGAAATGCTATCTTGCAGTTCCTCTCTTGTATAAAAACCTAAAGAGGTTTTCAAAAATGAAGTTGCAGTATTTGGGCCTTTTGGGAAAAGATTTTCCCAAAGATCTGTGGAACACTCTTTTCTAGAATCTGATGAACCAGGGCAAAATTGAGTACCCTGCCATGCAGATAAGCCTGTCTGGTTGTCTCTGGAGGCAGTCATATGATGACAGCTCCCGTTTCTTACCCCAAGTTCTGTCCTAGGGGCAGGACCTCTGTTGTCAAAACCTCTGAGACTGAGGGTATTATGGTCATGTTACAGATTAGGAAACTGAGAGCTCAGAAAGGCTATACGACTCACTCAAAGCCACACACTGACAGAGTGGAATTGAAATCCAAATCTATCTGACTGTCTTTCCAAGGATCAGATTGTGAGTTATGAAGGCTTAAGTCTAGAAGGGAATTTAGAGGCAACAATCTAAACCATTTATTTTCGAGATGAGAAAATTGAGGTTTTTAAAAGATTATTGTTCCCTGCTGTGTAAATGAGTTACTTTTACTGCAAATGTTTAAAGAGAATATAAATCCTAGTGTTTCCCACCATGACCTGAGACTCATATAATCCCAGAGCACTATATATTTTCATGTGTCTAGCATGTTTCCGTCAGTTGATGGGGGTGAGACAGCCCACGGGATGGGAACCCTGCACAACGGCAGGGAAGCATGTAGGCAGCACGGGGGGACGGCATGACGGTTCCTCCAGGTCTACATCTGTGGCGATCCCATTTCGCACACCTACCCTGTGTCCCTCTTGACACTCCCATCCCCGTTATCACTAGACCAAGAACATGCCAACATCTGGTGACAGACAATGACATGCAAAGAATTGTCGTGAAAACCGAGAACAAAAGGGGTTGAAAGGCTTAGGGCCTGTTAATTGCTTTTTCAACTGCAGCACACTGTTTTGTTTGTGGTTATTTCTTCCTCTCCCTGACATACTGATTCTAGGGCACTAGGGACACTAACTGATTTTCATGGTTGATTTAATGTAGCATGAATGAATTAGAAAGATTTCTTTGGAAAGTATTATCTTTGGAAAGCACAATATTTCTCTTTTAAATTCATAATCAAGGTATATGTTGCTGTTTCAAACTCCAGGTCTTTAAATCCCCAATGCTTGTCTTTACAGTGTTTTTCTTTGATGTAATGTTAAATACTTAGGATAATACAATCCAAGAGCCTCTAAAATTTCCATTTTGATACATTATCCAGTGTATTTTCTATAGTTGTTTCTGTTGGTTCAATATGTAGCTGGCTTTTACATTAGATGAAACATACTTACAGATATTTAATATATGCAGTCATCCAACTTAACACTGACTTTCATGTAATATCATTCTACCCTATCAAACCTCTTAGAGAAGCCAAACTGAAATATTCTCTGGGGAAGTGATTTTTTCCCCTCATCTAAAGTTCAGTGTCTCCCAATGCAGTTTCAGGAGAAATGCTCACTGAGTGTTCCAGAATGACTAAGTGAGCCAGGTAGTAGCTTTGGCCTGCTGGTGAGTGCCGAGTGCTCTTTTGTGTTACACATAGTAATTGAATACACACCTGGAAATAAACCCCCCACACATGAGAAGAAAATGAATGTTGTCTTCCATGCTGAGTTTTTAGTCTTCTGGACTGCAGTAGATGAAGTTAGAATAGCCTGCCCCAGCTGTTCTCAGAGTGTAGAATGTGGAGTCCTGGGTGTTCCTGAGACCACTTCAGCAAGTTTACAAGGTTAAAAATGTTCTCGTAACACCAAGACATTATTGGTCATGGTACTGTGTTGGCTTTTGCACTGACGGACAAAAGTGGTAGTGGGTGTACCTGCTGGCATCCTCATATGAAACCAGGCAAGGGTACCATTCTGTGTTCTTACAATGGTACAAGACACTCTGTTCCTCAGTCACACAAACAAAACAGAAAAGACAGAAAAACCAGTGTCATTTAAAGATGTCTTTGACAATACAGGAAAAATTATTAATTTTATTAAACCTCTGCTGCTGCTACACATCTTTTTAATATTCTGTGTGATGAAATGGAAAATATGTATAAATCACTTCTGCATATCAAAGTACCATGGTTGTCTTAAAGAAATCATTTTTGTGTGATCATTTTAGTTGTGAGCTGAGTGCACCTTGTTTGTTGTTCATTGAATACAAATGTTGCTCGAAAGAACGATCAAAAGACCAACTATGGTTATTCAAACTTCCGTTTTGAGAAGGTATTTTCTTTAAAATTAATGAGGTGAGTCTGGCATCCTAAGGGAAACAACTGGCAATATGCGATATTCAAAAATAATGCAAGGAGAATGCATTTCTTGTGAGGACAAGATAGGTATTTCTATGTCATTAATATGCAGTGTCAACATTCTGTGTGCAGAGATTGAACATCGAGCCCTTGGGGAGCGCTTGGTGGGAGGGAGGGGCTCGGCCACTGCTGCTTTGCCCTGAGGAAAGCGGGTGACTGTGGAGTGAGAGTTCTGGTTTATAATTTCTCATGCTCTAAAATGACCTGCTCAGAGCCAGGGAGTTGGTAATGGGAGACGAATGCCTTACCTTTATCTCTTCTGTAGAATTAGGAAATGTTAACGTGTAGATGCCGCTAGTGGTATGTCCTGCCTTGAAGACTTCAGCACAGTCTCTGAAAATGATTTGTTCTTCTTTAGCAGGAAAAGAGTTCTTAGCTGCTTTTAAAAGAAATAGCAAGGCATTTAAATGGAGTTCATGAAAAGATATAAATGTGTTATTTCAAGATCCAATCATTTGGTGAGTTGTATTAAATATGAATTATTAAATAAGCAAGAGGCTATGCCAGTTTTTTTGCCTTTCCAAAAAAGTTATTCTTTCAGCTTGTTTTCCTAGTAATTCTCAAAGACTGTTACAGATAATCCAAACTTCCTTTTTTTAATCATCCACTACATGTATTGAAAGCACTTCACAGTGAGCTGTAATAAATCATTATTTTTTGAAAATCTTTCCTCTTGAGTCAAATAGGATAAACTTACTGCAGAAGAACTAAAAAAGGTTGTACCTAAAAGCTATTACCTATACCATAACTGCATTTCATATTTCTTTAGGCTGTTATTCCTCCAAGGCTGACATATATGTTTTTTTCCTTTATTTTTATATAGCTGAAGCCATATCTTAATTCTCTTTGGAATATCTGGTGGAGGCATTTAGTTTTGTGTATGTGAATGGTCTTTTTTAAGAAGCTATTTTATAACAGTTTGCATTAAAGAGGACCATAATGTTTATGTATCTGTATATTTGAAATTATTCTAAGTGTAAAAATTCTAGGGCTACAAAAGTCCTTTAAACTTTATCCTTCTGTCAACATTTGGACTTTCTATTCCTTTTTGTCACGTGTGTGTATGTGCTTGTATGCTTGCAATTACTTTTCCATAGGGCCCTCCCAAAGCACAGGCCTCCACGGACAGGACAGTATAGGAGGAAACCATAACAGACAGAGGCACGCGAGGAGAGGGAACCCTGCTGCATGTGCTTGCGTTTTTTCTACCGGAAACTGAGCTACACCATTTTCTCAACTTTGGCTCATTGAAGCTGGCACCTCACACTGTCTTGGTCCCACCAGACAGTGTCAGATGATTGCCTTTGCCGTTCTCTGTGAATGCGAGCCAAAAACATGACTTTTCTAAATTAAATTCTAGTAGGAAAGCCCACGTTGCAAACGGGCAGCCCAGCACCAAACCCGTCACTTCTCATCCAGATTGTGCTGCTGTTAATGCTGGTCTGTTGATTTGTTTAAGTAGAAGCCTTGTTCACGTGTCTCTAGTAAAACTGGTATAAATGTGCAACTCAAGGAAAATGATTCAAGAATACAACTGCATCAGTGGTCCCCAGCCTTTTTGGCATCAGGGACCGGTTTTGTGGAAGACAGTTTTTCTACGGGTGGTGGGGTGCGGATGTTGAGGGGTGGGATCTTCAGGCATTAGATTCTCATAGGGAACGTGCAGCCTAGATCCTTCACATGCACAGTTCACAATAGGGCTTGTGCTTCACTGAGAATCGAATGCCACCGTTAATCTGACAGGAGCTCTGCTCCCCTTCTGCTCACCTCTGGCTGTACCGCCCAGTTCCTAACTGGCCACAGACCACTGCCAGTCCGCAGCCCAGGGTTTGAGGACCCCTGGTCTACATGATTCCCATGCAAAGCATGACTGTGTCAAAAGTGCAAGATGAAAGGGCATTATAAAATAAACCATAGTAAGAACTAGACCCAGCTGGTTTAAGAAAAGGAATTTAAATAGAAACGACACAAAGATCATATGTCACATCTTTAAGGATCAAAGATGTGTCCCTTCTTCCCTCCAATATCTAAGATAAACTGGAAGGTAAAATAATAATAAAGAAGGCAAAATGGATTTAAGGTCCTGATGAGAAAAAGGAACTTGCATGTCTTAATCGCCAGTTTATTCCAGTCACGTTGACTCATTTAATTTTTATAACAAATCTCTGAGTCTGATATTATTTTTCCGGTTTAAAATCTAAAGAAACTGAGATCTACATGGTTTGTTAACTTGCTTAACCTAGTTAATCTCGTTAATGATGGAACTAATTCAAAGTAGGATCTTTATTGCCGTGAATCAAAAGTTTGCCTCATAATAATTAATTAGTATGATATATAGTTCTCCTTTCCTTTCTCTTCCTTTTTCTTTTTAATTGATTCTGTATTGAGACCCTATGGAGATTTTTATATGAAATATGAGATATAGTACCTTTTCAGAAAGAGAATATTTTAGAATTTTGAGAGTTTCACTGAATGAAGTTTATTAAAACGGAAGATAACTTGGCATGCAAACTTTACTTACAATTTGTTGACATCATAGTCAATAAATTATGAACTGTCTCCATCAGATCATTTTGCTGCTTTTGAAGAACCGAATTATTCACCGTGGCAGTCACTAATTGCTTTTCTAGTTCTTCAATGATGGAATGTTGCTTGGATACTAACACCTGTAGCTGATCTTTCTCCTCTTTTATCGATAGTAGTTGAACTGTGTGCTTGTCTTCCATATCTAGCACTTTCTTTTCTAGGAAACTAGTAAGGAAAATGATTATTCATTAGTGAAGGGTATCTTAATTACCTGATTACTATCAAAGCCACGTGCTTTCTTTCTTTTTTATTTTTCTAGTCAGAATCTCACTCTGTCACCCAGGCTAGTGTGCAGTGGCATGCTTACAGACGGTTACTGCAGCCTCGACCTGCTGGGTCAGATGATCCTTCAACCTCAACTTCCAAGTATCTGAAACTACAGACATGTGCCACCATGCCTGGCTAATTTTTTTTTTTGTTGTTGTAAAGATGAGGTCTTGCTATGTTGCCCAGGGTCTCGAATTCCTGGACTCAAGTGATCCTCCCCCCTTGGCCTCCCAAAGTACTGGGATTATAGGCATGAGGTGCCACGCTGAGCCTCATTTGCTTCTTGTTTGATTTTCTGATATAGGGTGATCAATTTGGTGATACCATAAAAGTTGTACATAAGTACAGATTAATTTTATGTTAACATAATTCAGAAATGTGGAGAAACATTCTGTGTCAACAGAAATATCAAGAATTTGGAGTGTGTTTATTTTATGAGTTTTTATAGCGTCTCTTTGGATGCTATCAGTGCCAGCACTTTTCAAGGCCATAGCAATACTCACAATTTATTCAGACTTGTAAAAATGGCCCCTAAATTAATCATTTATTTTTAGGAGAAAAAATAGTAAGATAAAAAACTGCATAGTAATTTTCAACTTTAAAAGTGAGGCAGTGGCTATTCTATAACGAAAGTGCACATTTTGGGAATTATTGAAGCTTATCTAAAATATGGTTTGTCAAATGTGAAATGCCATGTTTTTGTAATAATGTTCTTGCAAATAAAATCTTAGACTAGACAAAATTTTAGGCAAAAAACATAGCATGCCGAACTCATGGAAGGACATAAAATCAGTGACACAACTTTCTTTTATATTATTTGTAGCTGCTGATTAAAATACCTTCTTGTTATTTCATTTTATACTTATGACAAAAGAGAATATGATTCTGCAGCTCCTAAAAATATTATTCTTCCTGCAGGTATAGATTTGTTGTATGTGGTTTTCATATTAAATTAGAGTTTGGAGGATTATTGTAAGACTCTTTGAGGAAACAGAGAATGAAAAATAATTGAGGACTGTATTCAAAGGTCCATATCGGCTCAGGAATTTTCTCCAAACCCTCTCCCTGCCTTTCCCCACAAGGTTTCTGATCCTTATGCTGGAAATTAAGCAATACATCACTTCAAGAACTCATCATTCTGAGATAGGCCTTCATGTATGGAAAGTACACAATTCTGAATTATAATTTTTTAATGTCATTACCTGTTCTTATCTTGCAATTTATTTATTTCACTGGTTTGATCCAAAATCTGTTTTTCCAATTTGTTTGTAGAAAGGGAATGTTCCAGAAGCTGAAGCTCGAGTCTTGTTGTCTTATTTAATACCTAAATGGAACAAAATGAAATTTGTATTTATCATTTTTAATTAGTTTAGCTTTATAACTTCCTTTTAATTTCAAGCATCCAAATTATAGGAAAATACAATCAAAACATTATTTACTAACCCATGTATCTTATTTTGGTATATTTTTCATTTTCAGAAAAGGCTTGATGTCTGTCCTAGATTGTATCCAAATGTGTCAAACTTTTTTTTCCACCATACCTTTGTTTTGGAAGTGATTAATAGTTATGGACAATGATATTCATGTCAAACAATATGATGTTATTTTTCTAGTCTGCCATATTTTATCATTTCTATTTATGCAGTGAGACAAATTGTTGATCAAAAGTTGTTGATAAATGAACAACTATTTTCCCTCTGCTCAAAGCATAATTCTCATTTTATTTGTTCATCAGTAGACAAAGGGATTAGAAGTCACATGCTTCCATTATATAAAAACATGGGTAATTTTTAGTCTGGCATTTCCTAGTTATCATCCACTTGTTTAGCATTTTATTTTTACTTGGCCATTTTTCTCTTTCCTACTTTAAAAATCATTTCAACCAATTAGGAAACAATAAAATGTCAATATAAAGTAGAAACTCAGTTTTGCCCTGTGCGCCCCTCTGATACACTGGGCAACATGTGCAGTATCGCTTTCCCATTGTATTCAAGCCGCTTGAAAGATGGATTCTTGAGCATTTGGCTGCCCTTCTGCAGGAAGAATCGATTACTCACATCCTCCGTGTCATGGTTATTCAGGATGTGATATCACATGTCAATGCAAGTCAGAATTGTTGCCAAGGAACCGGGGACCTTGAAAGAATCATTGTTTGTGGGTGTCTTTATGTCATTCGCAAAAGCCTTGTCCTGACCCCACAGGATGGTTTCCAGGGATGGCCTTATCCTTAGTCAAAACTGGTTGAGAAAGCTCCTCTGTGATGGATAAAGTCCTTGGCCAACTTAAGCATTCGGGATTTGATCCTGACACCTGGAATATATATCTGGCCTTCATCTTCTTTGGATCCAAACATTCTGTGTTGGTTATATCCAAAAGAAACAGGAAAATTGGGTCTCCTATTTAATTCATAAGGGTTATAAAATGAGTACAATCCGAGCAAGATGGCATATAGGTCATGACTGACCCAGGAATCATTGTGGCTTTTTTTTTTGAGTTGAAGTCTCACTCTGTTGCCCAGACTGGAGTGCGGTGGCCACTCCCAGCCACCGCAGCCTCAACTTGCTGGGCTCCGGCGATCCTTCCACCTCAGCCTTCCAAGTAGCTGGAACTACAGGCGTGCGCTACCACGCCCAGCTAATTTTTGATTTATTGTAGAGATGAGGTCTCGCCAAGTTGCCCAGGCAGGTCTCGAACCCGCGGGCTCAGGCAATCCACTCACCTCGGCCTCCCAAAGCGCTGGAATTACAGACTGAGCCACCGAGCCCGGCCAAGTGGCTTTTTTAAAAAAAACATCACTGTTCTGAAGAGAGTCAAGCAGCTGCACTGGCCTCAAAGCCTCTAGTCTGCAGGTGATTGTCCCAGTTATTCAGGTCAGGTCACTGTCTGTTCTCTTTAAGATCTCAGACCTCCTAATCCTTGTCCATCATTGCCTAATGTGATAGTCTCATTCTGATAGCTAGAAGAATCTTGCTTCTAATCAGAAATTTCCATATTTGAAATTAAACCTGTTTTATACAGTCAGTAATTGTTCAGCAAATGCCTCTAAGTCAATAAAGTAACATAATTCAGTCTCTTAACCACTTCTCTTAGGCTCAGCCATGTTAGTGGGTTTAATTGAACTTTTTATAGGCTTTTCTTTCCATCCATTTTCCTGTTATCTGGATCAAATGATACCTAGCTTTACAATAGGCTTTTTAAAAAATCGTATCACCCAACAAAACACATTAAATGCTATTAAGCCTCTGATATGTGGGATGTAGCAAAGAGTTTACATTGTATCACTGTGTCTTAATACTTTTTCGTTACTATTATTTAAAGATGTCAGAAATATTATACTTAGGGATATTTTTTGGGTGAGCTAGATTGCCTACCAGTTTGACTACCAAAGATGAGACGTGACGTAATCATTACTAATTTATTTTAATAATTGACTATGGGTGTATTGATACATTTACTTCTAGATTTTTTTATTTTTAGCTTTTATTACCTCTTAGGATTAAATTTCTAGTGTCTTGTGATCCACAGTGTAAAATATATATTTATATTTTTCCTAAACTGTTCTGATATCATGAAAAGAACTGATAATCAAATAATCTTTTATTCTATTCTCATATAAAATTATTTTATTCATCTGTCATTTCCATACTGTTTTCTCTACTTCATCCAACTGTTTTTAGGGAGACAATGAAAGAATACCTGTACTGTTCTAGAAGTGGTCTCGTGAGAGCAGGAAGGCTTATGGTTTTTCTTTTCTCATATCCCTTGCTGACTAATGTCTAGCATTTCTCAGTCCTTTTAGATCATGTAGCATATAGGACTAATATGTAGTGGAACTCGTTTACAATTAAATCTAGTCTTTAAAAAAATATTACTTATAGCTCAAAGAAAGAAGACACTAACTTCATAAGCCTATAAAGAAGCCAGGATTTGGAGTCAGAAAGGACACTTAGCAATGGAGATGCAAGACCACGGACTTGAACTTGGAACATCTCTATTAGTCTTGCTAATAGCACTTTACCCATGTAGTCTATTCTTTTTTCTTTCTTTCTTTCTTTCTTTCTTTCTTTCTTTCTTTCTTTCTTTCTTTCTTTCTTTCTTTTCTTTTCTTTTCTTTCTTTCGTAGAGACAAGGTCTCACTATGTGCTCAGGCTGACCTTGAACTCCTAGTCTCAAATGATCATCTCACCTTGACCTCCCAAAGTGCTGGGATTACAGGCATGAGCCACTGTGCCCAACCAACTACCTGTCCTATTCTTGTTGTGTATTGTTTATCATGACTCTGGATGAATTTTCTTATTTAACACTTTTCGAATTGTAATATTATGCTGTTTTGATATGTTCATATTTTATATTCTTCTTTCCCACTACTGTTAATCACTAGCTCAGAGAATTTTAAAGCTGAAAGAGAACTTAGCAATCGGTGATCTGGTCCAGCCCCTCATCTTACAGTTCAAACCACTGAGGTCCAGAAAAGGCCTTGCTCCAATTTATCCATCTGGTTAGGGATGGAACTGGAGCAAGCCACGGCAGAAGTCAAGGTTCTTCACTCTCATGCACCATCTGGGCTGCAACTTGCTGCTTCTCATTCTTCTACTTGTTTCCTTCTCCCAAAACTCATTCTGCAGACTATTGTAACAGTTATTTGAGATTCACGTTTTAACTTAAGAGTTAGATTTAAGGACGAAGTGTCTAATTCTCCACCTCATTACTTTTCATTTCTCAAATGCTGAGTTTAAGACTTAGAAATGCAAAGAGACATGTAGAGTCCAGAAAACACCAGTGAGGCATAGAAAGGGAAATTTATCTTATGGAAGTTAGGTATGCATAGCATGAAAATAACCTGGATGTCCTTAGTAGAGTACATGTAATTTAACCTTAGTATTAAAAAAAAAAACAGATTTAACGGTTTTAAATTCCTAGCTAGCTATAAACTCTTAATGTCTTATCAATTCATTCTTTTTCTTTTGTACTCGTGCTTTCTTTAGTCTTTCCTTACTTAACTGAGTAATCTCATGGCACTGTTGAGGGCTAGTCTTTTAGTGGCTGGATCACCGTATGTGATGTTTCGTTACTTACTTGGGCTTCCACGTCAGTTAGCTTCCGTGTTTGCTCTGCCGTTTGATTCAGCAGGCTTGTGCCTATCTCTATCATCACAGCAGTCTGATTCTGTACTGCATTCTGTTGTATCTCTACCATTTCTTTTTTCATGTTGTCTTGTATATAATTCTCAAGCTGGAAAAGAGCAAGTGTTAGAAGGCAGAATCATTAGTCAACAACAAAAAAATTCTCAAGCTGGAAAAGAGCAAGTGTCTTTAGTCAAGTGATCAGAAACCTTATTTCTAAAAATGTGTCATCTTTTTCCTATCTTTAAAAAAAATCTACTTAAAGATCTGTACCTTGGCCTCATTCTGAAATCTTGCTGTTTTTTTAAATCACTATTTGTAAAATATAGTATGATTTTATTTTTATGCAAAATCTAGCAACTCAGGTACATAGTGTGTGGGAGAGAGACGGGCCACTTGTTGTTTCTCTAGAAGCCCACGTTGTAGCAAGCCAAGGAAGTGGGGAGAGGGTGGTGAACCCAGGAAGGACCTCTGGGGGGCATGCTGCTTTGGTATGGTGTTTGTTCCACCAAGTTGCAACTCTGTCCTTTACATGCAGGAAATGAAAGTCTTCTACTAGGAAACATTGCTATTTCTATTACATTCTAGACTTTTGGTTTCTTGAAATATAGACTTTAAAAGACTCTCTAAGGCTGGACACGGTAGCTCACGCCCATAATCCCAGCACTTTGGAGACTGAGGCTGGAGGATTGCTCAAGGCCAGGAGTTTGAGAACAACCTGAGCAACATAATGAGGCCCCATCTCTACAGAAATAAAAATTAACCTTGCATGGTGGTGCATGCCTATAGTCATAGCTACTTGGGAGGCTGAAGTGGCAGGAATGCTTGAGCCCAGGAGTTTGAGGCTGCATTGGGCTATGATTAAGTCTTTGCACACCAGCCTGTCTCCAAAAACAAAAGACTTTCTGAGACAGAGTATGAGAAAAGGAGCATCTTTTGATTTCCCCTGTAGCCTACAGAATCACCACTCAGTTTCATCTTCTATGATGCCTCTCCCCCTACCCTTGCTTCTTAGTGAGTTCGACCTACTATGTGCTTTTTAACATATATGCAGTTTTCATGATTTTGTCATATTATGTATCAGGCAAATTTTGAATCCCACACTGGCCCATTCATCATCTAGAATGCCATAATACTGGGTCTTCTCCTCACTTGCCAAAGAATATGCCAACTAATTTTAGCATAAACACAAGAGAATGAAGAAGCTAATTTCACTGCCATGGGTATAGATAACTATTATCTATGGCAGTAAAGTTGTATAATTAAACATAAATGCAAGACAACCTGGAAAATGGAAGGAGCATATGGGCTTGGAGCCAGGGAAGCCTGCCCCTACTTTATAACCTTGAGTCTAGGTAAATTGCTTAACCTTTTGGGACCCCAATTTCCTTATATATAAAATAGAGTTTCTGATTGGAGTGTTTTAAGGATATGTTAAACTATGCTTTTAAAGTCATTGTGTGTGTATAACTTTAACATTTAATTTTTCTTTCTTCTTTTTTTTTAATAATGATCTAATCATGGCAGCCACTATTCCATTCATTGGTCCAAACTATAAGCTCATGATGATGGGAACTATATTTTTCCTTTTCACATAGTATAGCAAACATTTTTTATTAAATTGAATAATTGAAAGTTGATTATAAAACTGCTTCTAGTGCCTTTCTTTAAAATTTGAATGATTTCTCTATAGAGAACCAATGGTTTCTGTAGAGAAACCATTCATAGAGTCAGTTATCACACATACTATCTCCCAAAATATTAACCACCAAATAATATTGTACTTTCTGCCTTTAAGAGTGGGAAAAGAGGACGGGAAGGGTGGCATTTCTCAGAGTTCAAGGGCTTCTCTGATGATGCACTTTGTCGATAGCATCTTATGACTAGTGTCATATGGCTTTAGGATTACACTGGAACCATAAGTTTCCTGTTTCCATGGCTCTTTCTCCATCAACTCTGCCCCACTGCCTCCAGTTCCTTGCATGTTCCTCGTCGTGGTGGCTAATGCTCACTCCCTGCGATTGTTCTCCCTTGATCATTGGGCCAATCAGATCAGCATGAAGCATCACGAGCACAGGTGGCCCTTGTAGCCACAGGCTCTGCATAGCATTCAACCAGCCAATCAAAATACTCTCTAAAAAAATTAAAAATAAAATATAAAATACAACAAACATGATACAAATTAAACAATGCAGTATAATAACAGTTGACACAGCATGTATAATGTATTCAGTATTATAAGTAATCTAAAGATAATTTAAAGTATATGGGTGGGGTGAGGTATGATATCTCATGCCTATAGTCCCAACACTTTGGGAGGCCAAGGCAGGAGGATCGCTTGTGCCCAGGATTTCAAGACCGACCTAGGCAATGTAGGGAGACCTCATTTCTGTTTGAAAAAAATAAAAATACGTATGGGAGGATGTGCATAAGTTTTATGTAAATATACCCTATTTTATATCAGGGACTCAAACAACGTGGGTTTTTATATGGGGTCGGGGTTCCTAGAACCAATCCCCTCCAGATACAGAGGGACAACTGTACTGGAGCTCTGATCCTTATGTCAAATAATTTTGTTGAAATTTTTACTTTTTGATATCAATCAAAACAGACCAGTATTTTAAAAATCAGGTACCCTTTGGGAGGCTGAGGTGAGTGTATTGCATGAGCCCGCAGGTTCGAGACCCACCTGGGCAACTTGGCAAGACCTCATCTCTACAATAAATCAAAAAAATTAGCCAGGTGTGGTAGCACGCGCCTGTAGTTCCAGCTACATGGAAGGCTGGAGCGGAAGGATCCCCAGAGCCCAGCAGGCCGAGGCTGCGGTGGCTGGGAGCGGCCACTGCATTCCAGTCTGGGCGACAGAGTGAGACTCCAACTCAAAAAAAAAAAAATCATGTACCACTACTAGGCAGTTCAACAGCCACCTCTGGTATAGGCCTCATAAAATTTACAGAATCTGAAACCCTCATCAGCCCTGTATCAGAACTAGCTCAGGCTTTTTCATGTCTGTGATCTTTCTTAATTCATTTTTCTTCCTCTCTTGCTTTTTAAAAATAATTAATAACCTTTGTGGTTGAAATAAACTGTTTAAAAGTATTCATAGATAGCAGTTTGTCATTCTAACCCCCCACACAGACACCCTGCGTCACCATGAGAGTAATGGAATTTTTGAGGTTGAAGTTAAGGCTCTGTGTCATCTAGAGGAGTTGTCTCTGTTACTCTTAACACCCAGCAAAGACAATATCTAAAAGATTTATTCTGAGAACTTTGGAACTGTAAAGATATACTCAAACTGGAGTTTAGTATAAATCCCTACTTAGAAATAATAATTTACAAAGTAGTATAAATAAAAAGTCTTAATCTTCTTACTGATTTCAGTACTTAAGAGCTAAATAAAAATTATTATATCTTTTGTCATTCTAAATCATATAACCAAAGAAGAAGAAAAAATGAATCCTCTAGCAATTCCTTCCCCCATTTTCAGAGCTACTAGGTCAAATGTGGTTACAACTAGCCAGAAACATGAGAGGATTGTTTATAATTTGAAAATGTAAAGTCAAATTCCGACTGCGTGCAAATGGCTCACACCAATAATTCCAGCACTTTGGAAGGCATAGGTGGGAGGATTGCTTGAGCCCAGGAGCTCAAAACCAGCCTATGCAACATAGTGAGACCTCATCTCTACAAAAAAAATTTAGCTAGGCATAGTGGTGTACACCTGTAGTCCCAGCACTCGGGAGGCTGAGGCAGGAGGATCTCCTGAGCCCGGAAGCGAAGCTGCAATGATCAGCCACTGCACTCCAGCCTGGGCGATGGAGTGAGACCCTGACATACATACATACATAGGCCAGTTCCAATTTAAAATTAGACTTAGAAACCTTAAAAGATGTATAGGCCTAGTTTTAGAAAATAAAATGTCTTAATTTGCTGTGTGTTTCTCTAAGCTTGAAAACAATAGAATACAAAATTCTTTTTTAGTTGCTACTTTTCAGCTTTGGGGGTTGACAAAGTGTAGGTACATGGGTGGGTGAGAGTGTGTGTGATTGCTGTTCTCACATGGAAACAAATTACAAATATGTTAGCTGTGATGTGTGTATTCGTACAAACTGCAGATATTATGTATTCAATGTACATGTGTATAGTGTCTCTACACAATATATACAGCTTTTGAAGACTTGTATTATTTAAATGAAAGAAAATCTGTATGATACTGACCCTATTACTAACCAATTGAAGCAGAAAAATGAACACTTCTATACAAAAATCTCCCATTTAATGTAGCCTGTCCACAAAGCATCACATCAAGGAGCATAAGACCAAATCTAGAAATTAAGCCCATCTGGCTTATCCACCTTATAGACGTGCCTTGAAATTGCCCTGCCTGTTGACCTTGGTAAATTAGTTATTTTCTCGACTGTTGCCCTGAGAGGTCTTTCTGTTTAGTGTCTCTCTCAGTTTTGCTGTCTGTGAGTGAAACCTAGAAATATAGAAATCTGCCCAATGAAATTCCTTTCTAGTATAAGAAAATCTTAGTATAAGAAAAGAAAAATATGGTGAATAAGTCTTTCTTCACCAGCCACGTCACCCTCTGCTGGCCTTTGGCAAGTGCTCTCATCCCCGTCATCTGCACTTAACTGCTCTCATCAAAACAGTCCCAAAACACTTAAACTTCCTGAGGGCGGGCTATGGTTCCCCCTAATTTTGCGGTGGCATTCATCTTCACGTTTTGTAGGAGTGTCTGCTATCACCTTCGTCTCTGAAGATGGTTACCCTGTGATCATGCTCTGTGGGCACAAGGGCCTCTGAAGAAGTCCCCTGCATGTGTGTGCAAGGTCAGGGTGTGTTGTTCCATCCTCTTCTTAGTGGCCAAAGCTCTCTGCAAAGTGTCAGACCTTGAGCTGCTCTTCTTTTCTCAGGTCTCAGATGAATTGTCCAAATTTAGCAATTTAGGACTGTAGCCTTTATTGTAGTGGCATGGACTGTTGCTCAGTGTTATTCAATTTGCTAAAAGAGGGTTGTGCTCCAGATACAGTCTTGAAAACTTGACAACACATTGACGCTCGAGCAAGCAGAATAAAATATTTTAACACTGTGTGTGTGTGTGTG